CCCCCCCCCCCCCCCCCCAGAGTTCTGCTTTAAAAATTGCTAACAAGTAGCTGTGTAGGCACATGCTGCCTGCTTACATAGCAGCAGAGGGAAGAGGCAGGAGCAGGGGCTGCTACAGACAAGAACTGACACTTCCAGGAAGTAATCAGATTCCTGCAAAATTTACAGGGGTCACAGGTCACAACTACAAGTGCTAATTACCCTTCACTGCCTCTAGATTTAACTTGAAAATGAAGCCCAGCAAATTTAGTAAATCAACCCCATTGCCCAAAACACTTGTTGCACATGTAAGTGGAAGTTCCCCCTGCGATCCTCCCGCCGCTGCCAATGATGCTAGCCTTGGGTGGCTCTCTACTTCTGACTGTGCCCACGTCTCTCTTCTCCCCCCACCGCCTGTGTCCACTGAGCCCCCGGCTCTCCCCTGCCACTGTGTCACCTCTCTCCTCTCCCACCACCACCTCTCCCCCCCCCCCCCCCAGCTCTTCCCCTGCCACTGTGTCCTCCTCTCTCACAGCCTCTGTATTCACTGAACCCACCACCTCTCTCAGCTTCCCCTCAATTGACTTATCAGGCTAATCATTTTTAGAAACAAAGCTCACCTCTCCACCTGCATTCCTCCCGCTACCAACCTTCGACTCTGTAATCACAAAAACTAGGTAGCTGCGAGGCCCAAGTGTGTGCTGAGATGGCTGCCTAACTTGACTGACCCCAGTGCAGGCACTGCTTTCCAAAACTGCAGTGTGGCTGGCCTGGCGCCCCCTTCAGACCGACGCCCAGGGTTGGATTTACTCTCTCTGCTGCCCCAAGGCCAGGTTCCTCTATGCACACCCCTCCCCGTTAACTCCCCCCCCCTCAATGGAGAATGGCAACCAGATGGGGGGGAGGCGGCAGGGTTAGTTTTAATGTATTTTTAAAAGACTTTTTTTACTTTTTCAGATGTTTATTTTTCTTGTCTTACTTTTTTATTTATAATTTGTTCTTATTTTTTTTACTTATCACCTTTGTATTTTTTATTTTAATTATAATTTTTTACTTATTTGTTTTATAATTTACATTTTTTTTCCACCTAACTTTATTGCTATCACACAGGAGCTAACAATCCCCTGCGTGATAGTGTTTGGAGGTGACAGGTTCACTTTATTACTGGCAGCAGCAAGTCTAAACCTTCAAGAGGTGATCGGGAATCTACAAACATCCAAGAACCTGCACAATAATACTGATGTTCTTCTGTCTATGGACTGTATAACTATTGACTCTAAATCACTATCTACTTCAATAGATGCTACAAATTAGCTTACAGAGGACCAGCTGCAACTTCAGGCAAGTCCTATCATCAATGAAACTGTACCTGATGACTGCAAAACAGTAGTGTCTCTTCACAGAGAGTCCCAGTGAAAACTTGAAAAACTTCAGTTCTACATTTCTGCAACAGAGCTTAGGCCTAAGTTTCAATTCAGCTCCAGACTCAGGAACCCTACTAACAGTAAAAGGCATAAGAAGCTAATCAGTCATCTACACCAGTCATGGTACAAGAGCATCTTTTCTATGCAGGATGGCAAGTCCATCTTTAGGACACTAAAAAAAATGGAAATTTATTTGGGTTAAGACAGATAGAGCTTTCTTTTGGCGGTATTTAATTACCACTGCATTTATTTTATTCTTTACTATATAAAGGAAAAAAGAACGTACATTTTGAAAGAAACTGTTTCCCTTACTTTCAGTTATAAAACATTGCAAATTAATAATCTTTCTTCTTAAATGTAGGCCAAACTTGATTCTTCTACAGTTATTTATTTTTAAAAATAACAAGTGTATATTATTTAGATGGGAGAGGAGGAACAGGTATACAACTGAATTCCCTCTCCTCCATCAAGTGGAATGGAGGGAACAGGTACTGTATATGACCAGAACCTTCATAGCCCCAGCTCTTCACCCCTGCAGTGCTGGACATACAGTACTGTCTCTATTATCTGGCTTCAATCAAGGCTTGGTTTATACAATAAATAGCAGTAATCCACGCCTAGTCTAGGCATTATTAGAGATAACTTATTTAACTGGTGCTGTTTCAGAAAAAAAAACTAAAAAAAACATTTTACTATAGTGCAGCTTTGTTTTTGCTTCCTATTAGGTTTTAGGTTAGCTGGCAGAAGACTGTTCTTCTGTGCTGTCATCCTAAACTATGTGCAAATTAATTTAAGGATCTAAGCCAACTTAAGTTTTTTAGTTTGCATGCACTTGACTGCCAACCAAACTGCAGATGAAGCTTTTCAAACACTGATCTCTGCTTGTGGCTTGACCAACATGTTTATATTTCAATGGATTCATTATTTATAAATATATATCTTATCATAAGGGACATCTAGGTGGAGATAATTTAATTACGAGGGTGTGTGTCAACTGATGATGCAAAAAAGCACAACTGATAATTACTTCATACGGAGCTACTGTGATACAGTCATCATCTGTCTTACCTGTTATTCCTTTTGGACTTACCACTGAGAAGAGACTAAAAATGGATGGCAGCAAAAATAAGACAGACACCTGTTCTTTGATCAATCCCGGGGAGGAGAATGAGATGGTATGTGCTTTGTAGTAATCCTAATAATAATGTTATTATAAGATAAGTAAAAGTAAGATTGTATGTACTGTGATTTACTTAAGAAAACAGCAAGTCACCCTGTATATAATTTAGCTATATGTTTTCAAGGCAGCTGGGTCTGAAACTGTAAGTCTACTCTTGGCCTGTAGAAGGTGACAGGTAGAAATAAGCTCTCTTGGGGGCGTGGCCGAGCCATGGACGTGTGAGGAGTGTGGCCGTGCAGCTCCGGGCCCGATTCAGCCTTGACCCCACTCTTTCCGCCCTTTCCCACCCTACTCGAACCCCATGTCCAAGAAGAACAAGCAGAGGGGGCAGCGGTCCACGCCGAAAACAGCTTTTAAAAAGCTTTTCGTGCATCAGGACACCCCCACCGAAGTGCGGCCTACCTCCACCGCCGCATCCCCGGACTTTCCTACGCTGTTAGACAAGAAATCCCGAGGGGTTAGCATTCTCATATCTCAGTCAGTTTATTAGACATATAAACTAGACATATATGCTGGAGAAGAGGGTATACTGCTCATGATTAGGGGGAAGATCTCTAAATTGTGTTGAGACAACGTACAATGCTTTGATTATGTAACTACATACAGTTTGACGATGTTATGTTTTATGTACCTTTGTTTGTATTTTTTGAAAAAAATTTCTTGGAATAAAAACAGAATTTATAAAAAATAAAATATTGAGCATCTGCAATTTTCAAATCCAACTTAGAGTAACACAACAAAAGGAAAAAAAAAACTCCAAATAACACTCCTTGCAATAAAAGGTATAATACTTACCTTTCCAGAGGGCAACAGGTCCTAACTTCACCTTGCTGAGTATCTACAGAAGCTAAAAAAACCTTTAGCACCTGACACACTTTTTAAATATGTCATATACATGGTCCACCATTGCACTGTAGTTTCATTTATTGGCCCCTACGCCACTACATATAACCACAATGTGCACCTAGTGGTGACTAGCATTCATATATCTCTCCTCCTGTCACCTGTAGTGTAAAGGGTGGTCCAGTCATGCACGGATTCTATTTTAAACATACAAGTTTGACTCACTCGGTTGTTCATGTTTAAATTAAAAGAGGTTGCCAGATACCAAAGGCATTGGCTTAACACAAGCGAGAACAATAGCACTTGGCTCCGAGGGTTCAACAATAGCAATCACAATTCTGCCTGTTCTCTTATTCAGCAGTATCAGATAATGGTCAAATAATGTGTATGGCTACCATGAGACTGTATGCAATGAGTTGACAGAATTAATGATAATGAGAAAAAAATACAGGGAACAAACTGTATATAGATATTTCACTTTAATGGGTGGCACTTATTTGATGGAATAAGGCAAACTGCACAAAGACAATAGTGATCTGTGTTCCCTTCCCAGCAATTACACTTCATTCTAGAATATGATGTAACCAAAGCTTCTAGATGTAATGTTCCTTACTAAGTGACAATAGGTTGCGTAAAACATGTTCTTCAGAACTCCTTTCTAAAAAACAGTGCATGTAATTGTGGTAAAGATGTAAATTTGAAGAGGAAATGGCCACTTTCTGTCTCTCTGAAGTAATATATAAAGCCCAAACATTTCTTTTTAACATTGAGTAAAGTGGGAAATGCTTAGAGCCCTTAGAGATCTTTTTTTGTGTCACATTGTGAAGGGTTACCTTTACTTTCTTTCATGTAGATCAGTGCAAAAACATACATTCCCAGCACACTCACCAGCCAGCCTGCAAAAAAAAAGTACACTGTCAAACTACTAAGGTTAAAAACAGAGGTTTTAGTTGCACAACTTTTTGCAAAACATGTGGAAGCCACACTGCCTCGTCAAGGCCCCTCTATATAGTGTGGTCCTAGCTCTAAACTATGAGAGCCTCCATCTTGGATCATATTTATAGCAAAGAATGAATTGGGTGCAGGTTCACCAGTGGGCTGCAACCTCCTTCCCTGCAGGCCATGGCTTCCT